TCGGGAGGCAGCGCGCGGCTCTCAGGCCCCGACGCCTGGTGCGCCCGCCGGGCTGAGGAGCAGGCAGAAGAGTGCCTCCAGGATGCGGTTTGGGGAACGAACGCCGACGGGAAGGAGGGCAGCCGGGAAGAGGAACGGAGGGGAGACGGGGTGAAAGTGATTGCTCCCCACCGGGGAGCCGCTGCAAACTCGGGGCGGAGCTGCGGCTCGGAGCCCCGCCCCTGGTGACTGCGGCTACGGACGCCGGGTTTCCACGGAGACGGGGGCGGAATTTCCGACGTCAGGCGGTGAGCGAGAGTAAAAAAAGCACCAACTTTTTCCTCTCTACACTCAAGCTTTCCAGCCTCAGAACTGGCATTGCACCTGGAGGGAGCTCTGGGTCTCCGTGACATTTCCTGAAGTCTGCGACCAGACAGGAAGCAGTCGTTGGGGGCCGCGCACAGGTGGGTGCAGGAGCCTGGGCTGCCAGAAGCTCCCAGGCCAGTGGTCGCCAGGGCCTGGGGCTTCTGACCCTCAGTGAAGCGGCGAATCCCTGCGCTGTGCGCTTTGCCGACTCCTGGGCTCCTCCACGTACCAGCCTCGTGGCCTTGGCCACGTTACTTAACTCCTCCGAGCCTCGGTTTCCTCCCCAGTGAACAGCAGTACCGAAGCGGAGGGGTTGCTGCGAGGAATATACCAGCTGAGATAATGAGATAATGCGTGTGACAAAAAGCACCCAGGAAGCGCCCCAAAACGTCAGCTGGTGTTCTCCTTCCTCTCCAGAAACAAACATGCAGCTCGTGTGCCAGACGGACACGTGGCACATGGGTTGGGGTGGGCACGTTCTCCAGATACAGAGGGTGTTACTGCGCGGATCAGCAGTGGGGAGTGCAAAATGAATTACTTCTGTTTTGCTGAGAGGTTTGTAACAGAGGGAGAAAGCTCTGCAACCGAGTTTGCCTTTCCCCGGAATATACTGCCAGCTTTCTTCGTAAGCAAGCAAAATAGACACTATTTTCAAAGGGCATGATGTTCTGATGATCAAAGGGAGGATCCTAGGCAAGGGCTCAGATGTTACAATGCTCAGTGATTAAATACCGAGATACAATATAAATAAAAATGGTATAGCCACACAATGGAATAGTGTTCAGCCATAAAAGCAATGAAGGAATAGGGAGCCCAGAAATAAAACCTAACATATACAGTCAAATGGTTTTCAACAAAGGTGCCAAGGCCATTCACTGGGGAAAGGACAGTGTTTTCAACAAATGGTGTTGGGAAAATCAGATACCCACATGCAAAAGTATGAAGTTGGAGCCATACCTTACACCAGTGATGGCGAACCTTTTGAGCTTGACGTGTCAGCATTTTGAAAAACCCTAACTTAACTCTGGTGCCGTGTCACATATAGAAATTTTTTGATATTTGCAACCATAGTAAAACAAAGACTTATATTTTTGATATTTATTTTATATATTTAAATGCCATTTAACAAAGAAAAATCAGCCAAAAAAATGAGTTCGCGTCACCTCTGACACACGTGTCATAGGTTCGCCATCACTGCCTTACACCATACACAAAAATTAACTCAACGTGGATCAAAGACCTAAGCCTAAAAAACTCTTAGAAGAAAACATGACATAAAGCTTATGTCATTAGACTTGGCAATTTCTTCAAAAGCACAGGCAACAAAAGGAAGATACATTGGGTTACACCAACATTTAGAACTTGTGCATCCAAGAACACAATTAACAGACTGAAAAGGCAATCTACAGAAGGGGAAATAGTTGCAAATCATATCTGATAAAGGGTTAATATCCAGAATATATGTAGAATGCCTACAATGCATCATCAACAACGAAAAAACCCAAGTAATGGGCAAAGTAAAAATCAAGGCAAAATCCTTAGCAAGATATAGCAAACAGAATTTGACACAACTTAAGAAGTGTTATATACTACTAGAGGCCCGATGCATGAAATTCATGCAAGAGTAGGCCTTCCTTCCCCCGGCTGCCGGCACCAGCTTCCCTCTGGCACCCGGGATGTGGGCTTCCCTTGAAGCCCCAGCTTCCTCAGGAAGGTTGTCCGGAAGGACATCCAGTCTAATTAGCATATTACGCTTTTATTATTATAGATTACCAAGAGGAGTTTATTCCAGGGATGCAAAACTAGTTTAAAAAAATCAGACTAGCCTTGGCCAGATAGCTCAGTTGGTTAGAGTATCCTCCGATAGGCCAAGGTTGCAGGGGTGATCCCTGCTCAGGGCACATACAGGAATCAACCAATGAATTCACAAAATACGTGGAACAACAAGTGGATGTCAAGGCACATACCCTGGTTGTGGGTTCAATCCCCAGCGTGGCGCCTGTAGGATGCAACTTGCTCTCAAAATCAATTTGAAAAAAATGATAAATTTTATCTCATGTGCTCTTGGCCAAAATTTTTTTAAAAATACTTATTTTTATTGAGTTCAGAGAGGAAGAGAGAGGGAGAGAAACATCAATGATGAGAGAGAATCATTGATCGGCTGCCTCCTGCATGCCCCGAAAACGGATTGAGCCACATCCCGGGAATCCAACTGACTTACTTCCTGGTTCATAGGTCAACACTCAACCACTGAGCCACATCAGCCAGGCTCAGCTCCACAACGTTTTACCTGTGTATATACTTGTTTGACCTCCACTGAGATCAAGATATAGCATATTTTCAGCACTCCAGAGAGCTCTCTTAAAATTTTGGTCAATAACTGCTCAGCTGGTGTGGTTCAGTGGTTGAGCATCGACCTATGAACCAGGTCACCATTCCATTCCCAGACATACCCAGGCTGCAGACTCAAATGCCAGTAGGGGGCATGTAGGAGGCAACCGATCAATGATTCTCATTCTCTCTTATCATTGATGTTTCTATCTCTCTCCCTCTCCCTTCTTCTCTGAAATCAATAAAAATATATTTTTAAAAAAACATTGTGGAGCTGTACACAATATTTGTACATTTCCTTTAGGTAACGCATACCTAGATAAAGTGCTGGGGCTGGGGTGGGGAGGGAAGGAATGAAGCAGACACTCACTACAATGTGGATGATCTCTGGCAACACTTTGCTAAGTGAAAAAAGCCAGTCACAAAAGATCACGAATTGTAAGATTCTATTTACATGAAATGTGCAGAACAGCAAATCTATTCTGTAGAGCCAGACAGTCGTTGTCTAGAGCTGGGGAAGAATGGACGGCAAGTGTCTGCGAATGTGGACAAGGTTTCTTTTTGGGGTGATGAAAATGTTCTAAAGTTAGATGTGGTGATGGTTGCACAATTCTGTGAATACACCAAAAACCACCGAATTGCGCACTTTAAGTGGGTTAATTTTATGATTTGTGAATTATGTTCCAATGCTGTTAAGTGGAAGTAGCCTTCCTAGAGCAACACTGTCAGAAAGAATTTAATGTTGTTGAGTTTCTTCTTTTTACCTCCGGTATCCCCAGCCACCACTGCTGGCGTCAATCTCTTCCACACCATTGTGGTTGTCAAAAGTCTGCTTGAAATTTCCCTAGAAATTCACCCTCTAAGGCACTGTATCTTCTTTTCTTTGTGCTTTATACACTTTGCTACACAGTGAAACCTAGTGACTCATGCCTTTAAAATGTCAAGAGGTCTTCCATTGAGTAGCTATGCTTTTTTTAAAAAAATATATTTTATTGATTTTTTACAGAGAGGAAGGGAGAGGGATAGAGAGTTAGAAACATCGATGAGAGAGAAACATCAATCAGTTGCCTCCTGCACACCTCCTACTGGGGATATGCCTGCAACCAAGGTACATGCCCTTGACTGGAATCGAACCTGGGACCCTTGAGTCCGCCGGCCAACGCTCCATCCACTGAGCCAAACTGGTTAGGGCGAGTAGCTATGCTTTTGATATAAACAAGCATCTTTTGTTCATATATTTACTAAACATTTACTGTTCAAAGTCTGTAGTGTCTTAGTCAACAGGGCTATTGAGTTCAAGTAGTCTTTTTTTTTTTTTAATCTTAAAAAGAGGAAGGGAGAGAGAAAAAGAAAAACATCGATTTATTGTTCCACTTATTTATACATTCATTTATTGATTCTTGTAGGTGCCCTGACCGGGGATCGAACCCACAGCCTTGGCGTATTGGAATGATGCTCTAACCAACTGAGCAACCCGGCCAGGAATTCAGGTAATCTTGACTTGGACCTCACAAATTCCTACTTGCTGGTACATAAGTTGGATCAAATTCCTTAATCTCTCCAAATTCCCATTCCCTCACTGTAAACTGGGGGGGAAAGTAGTCCCCAAGACTGTTGTAGGATTGGATGAGATAAGGCATAGAAAGTGCCTAGTCCAGTGTCTAGCACATCATAAGAACCAATGGATGTTGCTTATTATTACAAAGTGTTAATGACTCTTAGATTCCTCCTACAATTAATTGCACAATCTGTTGGCAGGTAATCATGACCCTTCTTTCTCCGTTGAGAAATTATGAAAACAATTACAGGTTATTGTAGAGGTTCTTAAAAGTGTGCTCCATTCATTCACAATAGCCAAAAGGTGGAAATCACCCAAATGTCCACCCGAGGAAGAATGGATAAATAAAAAGGCTCCAGACCAGCCACGGAGGCATCACCTGGAAACTTTTTAGAAATGCAAATCCTTGACCCACTGAATCAGAAACATTGGGGGTGGGCCCCAGCGATCTGTGTTTTGACAAGCCCTCTAGGGAATTCTGATGCACGCTCAAGTTTGAAAAGCAATGAGTGGTAGCACAGTGTTCAAAAGGGTGGGTTCTAGACCAGACCACAAGTGCTCAAACCTTGACTGGCTCAGCCACTCGCAAGCTGTGTTATATTAGACGAGTAAATTAGGCCTCTCTCTACTCCAAGCTGTTTTCCCAGCTGTAAAATGGGGCTGAGGACAGAACAGACTTCCTAAGATTGTTGTGAAGGGCTTTACAACAGCATCTGCCACATAGTAAGGGCTCAGTAGACGGTCGCTATTATAAACTACTTTTTCGCTAAAATGAGAAATATAAGAAATTGCCCAAGTTCATATCATTACATGGGAACAATATATGGAAAGTTGGATCAGTAACACACATAGAATGTCTACAAAAAGTTTTTTTAAAAGTCTCAATGGGCCCTAGTTGGTTTGGCTCAGTGGATAGAGCGTCAGCCTTCGGACTGAAGGGTCCCAGATTCAATTCTGGTCAAGAGCACATGCCTGGGTTGCAGGCTTGATCCCCAGTAGGGAGCATGCAGTAGGCAGCTGATCAATGATTCTCTCTTATCATTGATGTTTCTATCTCTCTCTCCCTCTCCCTTCATCTCTGAAATCAATAAAAATATATTTTATAAAATAAAAATAAAAAGTCCCAATGAACCCTGCCTGTGTGGCTCAGTGTTTGAATGCTGACCTATGAACCAGGAGGTCACGGTTGGATTCCTGGTCAGGGCACATGCCCGGGTTTTGGCTGCATCCCCAATGTGGGGTGTGCAGGAGGCAGCCATTATCATTGGTGTTTCTATCTCTCTCTTCCTCTCTGAAA